TCCAAGCTCACTACTCGCTACTCACAACTTACTACCCACTACTCAATACTCACTAAACCCTACTCGCTCCCAATTACTCATTACATTAATCACTAGTCACTACCCACGAACCAATATCCAAACTTTCTACTGAGTACCCAGTACTCACTTACTCACTACTCACTATTCACTACCCACTACTCACTACCCACTACCCACTACGCACTTCTCACTGCTCACTACTCCCAACTCACTATTCACTAGCCAATTACCAAAACTCACTACTCATTAAAAATACACACTACCCACTACTCACTACTCGTGGATCACCACTCACTATCCACTAACCACTATTCACTAGTGAGTGATCACGATTCACCACTCATTACTCAGTGCCCACAACTCACTACTCACTATCCGCTGCTCGCTAATCGCTACTGTCTACTCCTTATACAGTACTCACAGTACTCATTGCTCACTACTCAGTACTCACTATTCGCTAGTCCCTACTCGCTACCCGATATGCAATATTCACTACCCACTACGCAGTACTCACTACTCACGACTCACTACTCCCTACTCCCTACCTACTAGTAATTCGTCACAAGTCATAGGTCACTACTTACTACGCAGTACTTACTACTCACTACGCACGACCCACTACCCACTACTCACTATTCTCTACTCGCTACTCCCTACGCGTTACGCACTACCCACTTCTCACTTCTCACTACTGACTACTGCCTACTCACTTCTTACTATTCACTACTCACTACTCGCTACTCCCTACTCGCGACTCACTACTCCCTACGCAGTACTCAATACTGACTACTCCCTCCTCACTACTCAAAGCTCACAATGCCCTACTCGCTATTCACTGTTCACTATTCTCTACTCCCTACTCGCTACTCAGCGAAGAAGACGCCAACTCGAAAAGATATGTAGACATCTATAACTCCAGGCGTTTACACGGACACTCAAAATCCTCTCTCGCGCAGGGTCGCCCAGGAGGCGTTATCCGCTGGAAGGAACAACCACCCAACAACAAGTGACAAGCGAGCAATACTGAACCAATCGGCGCCTACAGAAGACCGGAAGACGCTGTAGCTGCTAGCAGGGAGCGTATGCATGGAAGGCATGGAGTACATGCTATATACGCTAACGGGCTACACATTCCTCTTCCTATACTTTTGCAAGCCAAGGGGGTGGGACCCCCCCCCAAAACCGGACCCCCATAATCCGGAGATCCCGAGCCCCCCGGACACCCTTGTCAAAGGTCCCCGGCTGCTCCCGGGCCTCACAGGGCGCTTGGCCGGATCCTGCCAGCAGACCCGGGGCAATCAGAGCGGAGATCAGAGAGGCCGAAGAGAGACCCAAGACAGCACAAGAGCGCTCCAAGAAGGACACAGATGGCCTCCAGAGGCCCCAAAGACGGCCCAGGAGGCCCTGCACAGGATCCCCAGAACGCAGAAATCCTTGCATTCCCTTAGGATAACCTGCAATTTCAACATATTCGCTGTTCGTGTTTGAGCAGCGTCCAAAACAGCCCAAAAAGGTTTCCGGCATCTCCCCAAGACGACCCATGCGTCCCCCAAGAGAGCCTCTAGACGGCCTGGATGGCCCTAGACTGCCCAAGGAAACCCCCACATGGCCCAACAAAAGCGCCCAAGAGGCCCTCACAAGGCCCCCAAGAGAAGCCCACTAAGGCCATGGGAGGCCCCCCCAAAAAGACCATGGGAGGCCACGAGGAGGGCCCAGGCAGCCGCCATGAGATCCTTGAGGGCCCCGACCCCCCAACACTGCCCCAGGACGGCCTGCAGGTCGGCTCGGGGGGCCCCGAGCCAGCCCACCAGGGCTCCAACACGGCGTCTTCCACCAAACTGGCCCGAATCCCGGGTTCGCAACCACATTTCCCGGAAATCTGTTGCTAACCCGCGATTCGGTACATGCCCCAGGAATTACTTCCTGTCGCGTGCCCCGTTGCGACCAGCTGCAGCATGACATCCTCGGCTTGGCATTGCGTTGTGGTTTGCGGCGCTGCTTGACATTTCGTCGGTTTACTTGGCATTCATTCGCGTGGCTTGGCGTTGCGCACCGGGGCACAGCCACGAGCGGGTCTATGCGTGGGCCTACGAAGGCCTTTCGTCGTCGTTCGCTGCAAGAAATGTCTGCAGGCGTGCACGTGCACGTGAAACCGTAGCCGTTGGCTTCTGTACAGCGCTCCTCTGCGGTTTCGGGAGCGGCCAAGAGGGGGGTGTCCAAGAGGGGGGGGCGCAAATCATGACCGGCGGCACGTGCGCGGCCCAGCGGGGGGGCCAGGGACGTAGCGAAACGAGAAGAGGCGCCATGAAATCTGGGGAAATATCATGGCCCCCGCCGCGATATCCACCCCACCCTGATCATCACCACCCTCTTTGCCGCCCCCGACGGTTGCCTGGGTGCGTGCCCAGGGGGGCCACGCCAGGGGACATCCCTGGTGAAGGGGCCCTGGGACACACAAATAAGTACACACAAATAACAATAATCCCCCTGTTTTCCCATATTTTCGGGGTTTCTGTCTTCCCCCCCACTTCCCATACTTTCTCCATATTCTCTGGGGAATCGACGATTACTTGCGTCTGTGTGTTTTGTTTCCCCTCCTCACCTGGGGCCGTGCCTGGCAGCCTGCCCGAGGCCGTGGGCGGGGACGAGCCCGGGGCGCGTGCCGGGGGCGGCGCGCCATGCTGGAGGAGGCACGTACGTACAGTGGGGGCGTTGACCTAAGGAACTCCAAATAAGGAGCGAGGCCCCTTTCTCCCATAAGTTGAACTTCGATTTCCCACGGGGAACCTCAGGAACACCGAAGGCAAACTGCAGAACAATCAAGGAACACCGAGCCCCTCCCCAACGAAAAGGGTTCCTTCGTCAGGGCCCCGACTGTACATGACCCAGACATGATGGCGTCGTTAAACAATCAGGACGGAAGGTGTTTCATTCTTCTCGACCCCTAGAGGCCCTCGCCGGGCCCCAGGACCGTCAAGAAACGACTCGGGATGGAAAACCGGTCCCGGGGAAATGGTCGGGACTGCCAGGGACGGCGTCCTGAAAGAATCAGGACGTCGCATGTCTGGGAATGCACCTGGAGCAGTCCTGGGGCGGACCGCTGCCTGGAGCTGGGCACAGACCCTCCTCGACAAGGCGCGTGCGAGCTGCACCCGGAGCCTGCCTGGGACGCACCAGTCGTCTGGACCTGGGCACGTGCCATCCGCGGGCCTGCACGCCCATGATGCACCTGGAACTGGCCTTGGACGCACCAGTTGACTACCCACCAGACCAACCCAGCCCAACCCGAAGACCCCACTTTCGGGTTGGGGGGGCACGGGTTCCATATGTGTTTTTTCAATGTTCTCCGACCTCCCCCCGCTGGAGACGGAGGGCAAATTGAGGCCTTCGGGCTGGGTTGGGTTGGTTTGGTGGGTGGTGGCCAGTGGCTGAACCTGGGGGGGGGGCCGTCCTCGAGTGAGCACGTACGGCATGCATCCGACGAGGTCCTGGGACGCACCGCTGCCTGGACCTGCGGCGTGCGATCCTCGAGCGGGCGCGCACGGAGTGCACCTGGGACGCGCGCCACTGCCTGTTGGACGCCCCTGCCTTTTGGGAAGGAGGACAAAGATGTCGGACATGGGAGCTCCGCAATCATTCAGTGGATCTCGAGTGCGCAGGATTCTGGGCCAGGGCCAGTGAGACAACACATGAAGGCCCCAGGGCGCACCATTCTCAAGCGGGCTCGCACGGGGCGTGGCTGTGAGGCTCCGGGCTGGATCCCGAGATGGGATCTGGTGCCCGCCCCGAGCTGACACGTCGCTGTGCCGCCAAGACAGTCGACCTCCGCCAGAGCACTGCGGCGACCGCTACGAGGGCAACCCGTCGGGCAGCACACTGCCGCTCGCCCCCTCTCCCTTCGCAGGGGGCCCGGAGGCCTCGCAGAGGGCATCATGGACGGCGAGGGGCGCCTCCGCGCGCCAAAAGCCCCCCCCGTCCTCTTGGAGATGCCCCCCCCTCGCCACGAGGCCCTGCTGCTCGCCGCCGGCCTTCCCCCTGCATCCCAGACCTTGCCCCCGCGATGTCCCAGGATGGCTCCCAGACGGGCCCCAGTGGTCCCGGAGACCTCGAGGGCGCAGCCCGTCAGATTCAGGGGTCGGCGGGTGGCAGGATCAAGTCGGCGTCGAATCGGCAAAGCGGGTCGAATCGGGGCGTGCGTCGGATCGGGCCGCATCGGCGCGGAGTCGGAATCGGATCGCTTCCGGATCGCCTGCGCCAGGATGCACAGCAGCGCCATGCAGGCATCGGGCCGCATCGGCTTGCTGGAGCAGCGGGACGGAATCGGATCGGGCCGGCGAGAGTCGACATCGAATCGGACCGATCGGATCGAAACGAGCCCCGAGGGACTGGGAGATGGGGAAGTACGAGGAGGAGGAGGAGGAGGAGGAGGAAGATCAGGAGGAGCAGGAGGCGGGCGATCAGGAGGGGGGGGAGGACCATGAGGAGAGGTCGCAAGAGCGTGAGCCCGAACCACCCACCGCTTTGCATCGCGAACGTGCGCGGGGCCATGGCGTCAGCCTGCCGAATCGTCCGGGTCGGGCAGCACCTCCGCAGGGGAGCAAGAGTTATACACGGCACGCCGCCGCGAGGAGCCCGCCAGCGTGCCACGCCTTCGTGGTTGTCCGAGGAGGGGGGGCAGTCTTTCTTCAACATGGACGCGCTGATAGGCCCCTCACGGCGGCGCGCCACGGATAGTGTGCATGGAAGATGGATCGCCCACCCCCTCCCCGCATCCGCGGAGGGGGGGGGGGGCGGTTGGGCACGTGCTGCAGGAAAGGGTGGAGGCAGGGTGGAGGAGGAGGAGGAGGAGGAGGAGGAGGAGGAGGAGGAGGAAAAGGAAAAGGAGGAGGAGGAGGACGAGGAGGAGGAGCAGGAGGAGGGGGATGGGCAAGCACCGTCGGAAGGTCAATCACCCCCCCCGTGCAGAGTACAGTCTTTTGCTACCCCTGCACCTTGACCTTGTCGCCCGCTTGGTACTTTGGCGGCTGCCTCGACCTGAGCATGTCAGCCATCGCGCCCCGGCGCCAGCAGTCCCGGAGCTGCTGCAGGGAGAGGGCCTCCCTCTGGGTGCGCTCGGTGGCGATCTGCCCCTGGAGGCAAGGAGCAGTCAGCATCGAATCGGAAAATCCCCTCCTCCTCCTCCTCCTCGTCCTCGTCCTCCTCCTCCAGCTTCCCCCTCCTCCTCCTCCTCCTCCCCCTCCTCCTCCTCCTCCCCTCCTCCTCCTCCTCCTCCTCCTCCTCCTCCTCCTCCTCATCATCATCATCATCATCCTCCTCCTCCTCCTCCTTCCCTCCTTCCCCCTCCTCCTCCCTCTCCTCCCCCTCCTCCTCCCTCTCCTCCTCCTCCTCCTCCTCCTTCCCCCTCCTCCTTCCCCTCCTCCCCCTGCTCCTCCTCCTTCCCCTCCTCCTCCTCCTCCTCCTCCTCCTCCTCATCCCCCTCCTCCTCCTTTCCTCCTCCCCCCCCTCCTCCCTCTCCCCCTCCTCCTCCCTCTCCTCCTCCTTCTCCTCCTTCTCCTCCTCCTCCTCCTCGTCCTCCTCCTCCTCCTCCTCCTCATCCTCCTCCGGGAACTCGCGTCGCACAGGAACGTGTATCGAATCGGACCGCATCGACTCGGAATCGGAATTCGGGGTCGAATCGGCGGCGCCAGGATGCCCAACGGCGCCATGAAGGAGCATCGGGCCGCACCGGATCGGCCGGGCATCGGAATCGAAGCTGGCCGGCCAGAGCCGACATGTGAATCGGCTCGCGAGATCGGATCGAAGCGGGGCCTGCCTGGAGGAGCCAGGCCATGATGTCGTTCAGCAGGGTCTGCTGGTCCAGCACCTTTGGCACCGAGCCGCCGTCGTCCGTCCCGCGCTCGTCCTCCGCAGGAGCGTTCGGCTCCTGCCTCCTCTTGAGGTTGTCGACCTGCTTCATGACCTCGGGGATCACCAGCAGGACGATCTTCTGCCCCTCCCCGAACTTGCGCATGCGCCAGGCAGCCTGGGCGTGGTCCCTGAGGGTCATGCCCTTTCCAAGCGTGGCAACACCGATGGCGTTGGGCACCTTACCCAGGACGACAACTCTACTCCAGATTTCGTAATAAAGGGAGGGGGGTCTCATTTCGGGGGGGGGTCTCTTCCAGGCTATCTTGGAGGGCCTGGGGGGTCTGGGGACGATGTTTTGGAGGGTTCTCCCACGGGGGAGGTCTGAAATGGCTTGTCTTGGAAGGTCCAGACCCCCTCCCTTTTATTACGAAATCTGGAGTACAGAAACATAGACTTTCGGACGTCCACGCGGGTTTCTTGGAGCAGCGCTGGACCCCCCATGGCGGCGCCTCCAGCGCCGACCCTGACGCGCTCCGCGCTCCGACGATGTATGCTTATGCAGGTTATTGTTTAATATATATATATATGGGTTTATGCAGGTTCTTATTATTCAATTTCCGAACGTGGCAGCGCCGACGGCGCTGGGCACCTGAGGGATGTCCATGCCGGTGCAGTGAACCTGGTCGAAGAAGGTGAACCTCTCGCCAGGCTTCAGTCCACATGTGGCGAAAGGCACCCCCTCACGACCATCGGCCATAAAGAGGCGCTTCTCATTCTCGGTGTCAAGGTACACGACGCCCTTGAAACCGCTCTCTCTGAGCCCACGCTCCATGAGAATTTTTGCGACGCCCAGGTTGTCCTGGCCCGTGATGAGTGCACCGGTGTCGATCAGAGCGGTCCATTTCTGAGCCAATGCCTGCGTGGCGATGTATCCCAATAGAGAGTCAACGCTCCAAACCACGTGCTTCCCCTCGCCCATCTCGCGTGCCGGATGTCCTGGCCCCACGACCTGAACCTCGACGCACTCTTTTGACGTGAGCGTGCACACGATCTCCGCATCGCTCATGAGCTCGTACTTGCACCGCTTGCCGTCGATCGCGAAGGCCTGCGGGAGCACCTCGTTGGGAGTACCCGTGAAGCCGATCCGCACATTGAAGATCATCTCCCCTCCCAGGTCCATCGAGCTGCTGGACAGTCGCGTCATCATCGCCTCCGTGCCGGCGATCTGCTTCACGGCGCCGTTCTCGCCAATGTAGCACAGCTTCTGGAACACGTGCCTCAGCAAGAAATGCTCACTCCCTCCTCCTCCGCCTCCTCCTCGCCCTCCGCTGGGGGGGCCCCGAGCCTCAGCAGGAGGTGGAAGCGGACGGCGGGCTCCTCTTCCTCCTCCTCCTCCTCCTCCTCCTCCTCCTCCTCCTCTTCCTCCTCCTCCTCAGCCTCCTCCTCCCCGTCCCTTGGGGGGGCCCCGAGCCTCAGCAGGAGGCGGAAGCGGACAGCGGGCTCCTCCTCCTCCTCCTCCTCCTCCTCCTCCTCCTCTTCCTCCTCCTCCTCAGCCTCCTCCTCCCCGTCCCTTGGGGGGGGCCGGAGCCTCAGCAGGAGGTGGAAGCGGACAGCGGGCTCCTCCTCCTCCTCCTCCTCCTCCTCCGCCTCCTCCTCCCCGTCCCCTGGGGGGGGCCCCGAGCCTCAGCAGGAAGTGGGAGCGGACGGCGGGCTCATCCTGCATCAGCTCCTGCAGCTGATCGAGCTGGTCCTCGTCGCCGGGGGCGAAGAGGTCCAGCGGCAGGACCTCCGCCGCGGGCCTCTTGACCTTGGCCTGCACGACCCACTCGTCGAACAGCGTCCAGGACGGCCTCATGTCGAAGGGCCCGGTCTCCTTGTTCATCGAGTCCTTCAGTATGTACACCAGGATGTAGAACATAAACCGACGCAGGCCCTCGTACTCGTACCTGGAGGTTGAGCGTCTGCGGAGGTCCCGGGCCCAAACGCTGGGTCTCCCAACTGCTGCCGGCGGCTTCCAGGAGCTTCCGGGAGCTCCCCCGAGCTTCCTCTGGAGCTCTTGGAAACTTCTTGGGGCTCCCGGGAGCTCCTCAGCTGGCCTTCGACGACCTCACGAATCCTCGAGAGTGTCTCCAGAACCGCCTCAGATAGCCAGAGGGGGCCCTGGAGCGGTCGCAGACAGCTTCAAGACGGCCCAAGGTGGCCTCCAGACGGCCCAAGAAGCCCCAACGACGCTCCAAGAGAGCTCCAATAGCACGTCCAAGAGAGCTCCGAGAGGCAGACAACATTTAGATTCCTGTTGCTTTACATGGATGTTGGCATTCTCGCCTTTTCGGCCTTCCGACGTTCCAAGACGGCCCAAAAAGCCCCCAAGATGGCCCCAAGACGGCCCAAGAGACCGCTAAGAGGATTCCAGGACGGCCCAAGAGGGCCCCAAGACTGCCGAGGAGGCCTCCAAGACGGCCCACAAAAAACCCAAGAAGGTCCAACATGGGAGCATGACCTGCCATTTCGAGCCCTCCGCCCCAAGAGGACCCCCGAGACCGCCAGCAGGCGCCCTAGAGGCACCCAGAGGCCCCAGGACGCCCCCAAGAGACCCCAAAGAGGCCAGAAGAGGCCCCCGAACGACCCCCAAGAAGCTTCAAAACTGCCTCAAACGCTCCCGAGATGCTCGCGAGAGGCATCCCAAGAGACCCCAAGAGGCATCCAGGAGGGCCCTGACCCGAAACCCAAGCACAGTGGCGGGTTGGGCCGGACGCCTGAGTAGATAATAAGAAGAAGACTACTTATAACAATAAAACATGACGACTACTACTACTACTACTACTACTACTACTACTACTACTACTACTACTACTATTACTACTACTACTACTACTACTACTACTACTACTACTACTACTACTACTACTACTACTACAATTACAACTACAACAACTACTACTACTAATAATAATAAGAATAATAATGATAATCATAATACTAATACTAATAAGAATAAAAATAATAATAATCATAATACGAATAAAAATACTAAATAATAATACGAATAAAACTATGAATGGTACTACTACTCACAATAATAATATAAAAAAACGAATAAGAATAATAATAAGAAAAAAAATAATAAATAAAAATACGATTAAGAAGAAGAGTAATAATAAGAAGAACAAGAAGATACCGCGATGAAATCAGGAAGATTTCGGAAGATTTCGTAGCCCGGCCAAGATGTCTACATCCACTCGCCCTCAGTCATCAGCCCCCCTCTCGGACGCCCCCGCGGCACGCCAGGTAGGTGAGGCCGATCGCGACGTCTGGGGACGCGAACTCCGCGGCCTTCGACGGGACGTCCTTGCCGACGAACGGCACGGCCATCAACTGCCTCCCGTCGCCCGACGAACACGATGACGACCACGACGGCGACGTCCGCGTCGAGGACGACGACGTCGATGACGTCGGCGACATCGACGACGACGTGAACGCGGACGACGACGACGACGACGACGACGACGACCACGACGACGACTGGGATGGCGACGGCGACGACGTCGCCGAAGTTGACGACGAGGACGGCGACGACGAAGGGCGCAGCCACCGGGTGCCTCGAGGCCTGCGGTGTCCTCAGCACCTGGGCGGTCGGCGCACCGAGGGGGATCAGGGGGGAGGAGGGAGGAGGGGGAGGCCCTCCTCCTCCTCCTCTCCTCCTCCTCCTCCTCCTCCTCCTCCTCCTCCTCCCCCCTCCTCCTCCCCCCTCCTCCTCCTCCTCCTCCTCCCCTTCAGCACCTGGGCGGTCGGCGCACCGATGGGGATCAGGAGCCCGTAATCGATCCGGCTGCGCTTGCTGAGGCAGTGGACCAGCAACGCCCGGATCCACTCCCTGCACTTGTTCAGGACCTGCACCTTCTCTCGGACCCTTAAGATCACCTAAGATAAAAAAAAAACTAACTCCTGATAAAATCTAGGTTTTCTTAAAACTGTCATATATGAGATAATATTTGTTTTGTTAAGATAAAACAAATTACCTTCAAGATACTTTAAATTATCTGTGCGCGGCAATATTAATTTTTATGGCACATGGCGAACCGAACCGAACCCGCACGGTGTACATTTTTTTGCAGCTGAGCTTGTTATGACGGGTGTGTGAGCACGTGGACGCACTGAGCCCTTGTAGTCTTGTTCGTGAGCCACTCGGCGTATGCCACAGCATAACCCGCATCTGTTTTGGAAGCGCCATCGTCAAAACAATAGCCATTGGGGCTCAGATTTTGTGTAGAAATCCATCTCTGTGGCGTGCAAGATGCTCGGGCGCATCACCAGAAAGCGGCTTAGGTCGAAGGCGTCGCCTGACGCCGATGTGGGCTCTCTGACAGCTGTGCTGGAGAAGTTCTTCGTGAAGCGCGGCACCCGTGACCTCTGGCGGATATTGAGGACACTTTTTTACATGTAATTGTTGGAATTCGACCATGTATGACCCGTCTTATCTTGCGTGAAAAAAAACATATCTTGCAGCCCCGTGCGCAAGCACATCACTGAGAAGACGCAGCCCGAAGCTTCGATAATGGCGTCCTTCGCGGACTTGAACGAGCTGCTGGCCCAGGCGGCGCCGAACATGGTCATACACCAGGTCAAGTTGAGGACGGCTGTGTTCAAGGCCCACACGAAGGCACCAGTGACCATAGAATGATACCTGTACCTTAAGAGATTGCACCCGTATGGTTTCGTCACATCCTGTGTTTGCAAGTTTGTATCTTGCGAGATGGCATCCGTATCTGTGTCGTATAAGATGTGTGTTTTTTTTGCGTTGCGCGGTTATCTTGTTTTCTGCGCGTTAGTGGGAAGGAACCGTGCATTGATTCATTCCCCCGCCGCAAAAACGACATCCGTATGCATACAATGTGTATACGTTCGTGAGTGCATATGAATAAGGACAGGTGTACATCATAGTCCACTGTGTGTCTTTATGCGGTGGGGCCCAACAAGGATATACATACACATATATGTATTTATTTATACACAGACTTGTATCATGGGCGCTTGAAGGTTGTATATGCGAGCGTGCATCACACGTCGTACAATTAACATTTAAGTCATACTATACACCATCATGTACGATATTCATATGTATTCCTTTTGTAGGCATACGGTGTCATATCGCGCCTATCACATATCAAAGAACACTACGAATAATATTGACTGTGTTTGTGATGTTCCAAATTGTGCAAATGATCTGCAATGGCGCTTCCATTAAATTATTAACCTTGTTTGAGTGAAGTTGCCATGCATGCACGTGCCACGTGCCGACACGTCGTGTAGTGGAATGTGGTAGCTCTATTGTGACATCGTGTATGTAAAGATTTTTGGACGTATAACGTACACCATTTATGCGTATGAACACACATACATAAATGGTATTGGTTGCGAGATCACGTTGTTACTCCTGTCGCCATCAGGCGACCGTCCACATGACTGACGCGTCTTTGGAGCATTTCTGCCACGATTCGGCGTGGTGGATCAGGACGCTGTTGTGCACAACGTAAAAATCAATACAGCTACACAACAGATATGTTGTGTATTTGCATAGATTTCTTGTCTACGCGGGCGCCAGCGCGCCCGCGAAATTCGGCAGGACCTTGGCGTCCAAGTACAGAGAGGCCATGATGTATGAAGGGAAGTTACAGACGCTCCAAGAGCAGGAGCGCTGTTTTATTTGTGTGGCGCAAATTGAGCAGCCTGCAGGGCGCAGAGTTTGTTGGTTGGACAACAGAAGCGCATTAAGTCGGAACGGTTTGAATCATCATGGGAACGCCTGGATCATGTCTGCTTGATTATTATTTTGACTTGCGCGCGCTGGGGTGCCCGAGTTGTGAGGCACATCGTAGAAAACACGAAAATCCGGTAATCTCCAGGCGACCCCTGACGAGATGAGTGAGATTCAGAAGGTTTTCAACCACATGGAGGTGGACAGGCCGAAGAGGGGCGCCTGGGACACTTCCGAGCGCGAGCACCTCCCGCTGGATGGGGGGCCGCGCCCGCCCCCAGGCGATGGGGCCTCGCCGAGCCGCCTGGCAATCATGGACGGTCGGCCTGACGGCGGCAGCTCCTCGGAGGGGCCCGGCTTCAGCATCTTCGCCAAGATCTTGCAGGACGACGGATGCGAGAGCCTCGGCGTGGGCGCCGCGGGCAGCCAGGCGCAGGGTACAGAGAAGAGCGGCACGATCGGTGAGGGCGTCGACTTCGGCTCCTTCAGGATGGTGTTAAATGACAAGGACAATGACACCTTCCACGCAGCTCTGCGGGCCGCCCACGTACCACCGCAGCTGGGCGGCCAGAAGAAGGCGGCCGTCGGCGCGGTCGGGAAGAAGGGCAAGACTCGCCCTGACGATGCCGTGGACACCACGCCCGCCGCGAAGAAGGACAAGCGCGGCTCCGACAAGACGCCCCGCGAGACCCCTGCGCCCAAGACTGCGAAGCCAGCAAAGGACGCGTTTTTTATGCATTACGTATGTTGTTATATGTACCTTCGGCTGCAGAAATTGTTTATTGTTGTATCTTTCGTATTCCTATGCACTGGCATCAGTATGCCTATGCATTGTTGTATCTTTCGTATATATAGGCATGTTTTTTGTTGTATCATTTCGTATGCCTATGCATTGTTGTATCTTTCGTATATCTAGGCATGTTTTTTGTTGTATCATTTCGTATGCCTAGGCTTTGTTGTATCTTTCGTATGCCTAGTGAAAACGCCCAACACAGGGCGACCTCACGCCCCTGAAAAACCTTTGCGGGGTCAAGAAGGTCGAGCTACTGAAGGAGTGGAACCGTTGCCACAGCGGCGTGTGGCACAAGGAGAGGAAGAACGCACTGGAGTCTGGCCTTTCCGACGACCAGGCGAAGGCGCGCGCGGCCAAGAAGTGCGCGGGACTGAAGAAGGCGTTCTTCTCTGAGCGCGGCTACGTAGCGTAGTGAAGTGTAGGGGTAGGTAAATTTTGAATGCGTGCGGCTCGAGGCTAGCGTTTATTCACGGTCACCCCAAAGCCACTGTATCTTTTACATGCACGTATTTCTGTATGTTGAGTGAGACGGCGCGGATTAGGCGTGCCATGTTCATGCGCACGAACACTCACATACGCGCGCACATCGAAATTACCGGTTCATTTTTGTAAATCCCCATTCCGCGTGGAATACCCAGAAATATTTACTTTGCCCCGATCACTAGAATTCGTCGGGGGGTGCCTCTGCGAGCCTGCATGCGTAGTAATGGACGGAGGCGCCTACAGAGTTGCTTGTTCCCGCTGGCCTGTGCCAGAGCAGCCGACATTGTCTTCCCCCGCTCCCGCGGTATATTTCTCACGAACACTCTGCTTAGGTTATATAAGAAAACTTGCTGTTACATGGTAGGGATCCCCTCAGGAGGAATCGGGGAAGGGTGTAAGATGATGGGAGGGTTTCAATCTCTGGGGGGGGGGGGGAGAGAGGCGGGAATGAGGCGGAGTGTGTGTGGGGGGGGGGGGGGAATTGCACGTTCGCTTTGCATCTGGTCTCGTATATTGTGGCTTTATGGTTTCGCCTCACGTGGTGCAGTTTTGTTGCGTATATGCATAGTTGCTCGTTGCCTCCTATCTTCGTATATTTGTGATTCATATTCGCCGCCCGCGCCCGCTCGCAGCGGGCTCATTTTCGCGGGCCCCTTTGTGTTCTTAGGCAGCGCGCGGCCATGTCGCCAAGAATTTCAGGGACGACAAGACGGTGTTCATCAAGAACTCGCAGCATGCTGTCTCCAAACAGCGGGGGGAAGGGTAAAACGAGTGGGCAGGGGGAGTAAGGGGGGAGGAGGGGATACGGGGGGAGGAAGGAGGAGTAAGGGAGGAGGAGGGGGGAGGAAGGGGGAGGCAAGGTAAAGGGGGAGGGAGGGGGAGTAAGGGAGGAGGGGGGGGAGGGGGAGATGAGGAGGAAGGGGCGGAGGTTTCTGCGCGACATGTGCCACTTCCTCGGCGTCGAGGGCACCGTGGACATCTACGTTCGCGACTTTGGTCCCTACAAGGACCCGATATGTTTTTGTCTCTGTCAATTTGTCGTTGCTTGTTGTGTCCCCCGTCCGTGTTCATGCATGCTGTCTAGTGATTGTCAGTATCTTCTTTTTTTGGGCGTGGTTTCCCAAGCAGGTTCTGGGCGGGTCTTGCCCAGCAGGCTTAGGCGGGGCTTGCCTAGAAGGTATCTTGATTGTATATTGCTTTAGGTTTTGATTTGGGATAGTTTGGCGTATCTTTGATGTGCGTATCTTGATTTGCAGTATCTTGCTTTGCATTCTTTCATGCGCAGTTTCGCATTCTTTTATCTTGCTTTGCATTATTTCTTTGATCCCTTGCGCGCCCTCGTGCTCCAGGACGCGCCCGCCCTGATCAAGTTGGCCACTCCTGAGCAGGCCGCCGCTTGCATCCAGTGCATGGACGGCCACGTTTTCGACGGGCTCACCTCCGAGGGCAAGGTGACGCGCGCGGAGTACGCCCTTTCGAAGGACCGCCCCATCGCTTTATTCCTCCGCCGTCGTCGCCGTCGTCGGCCCCCTCATGTTCTTCAGATTTTCTTCATCATCTCATTGCGCTTCCAGTCAGCAAGGCAACGTGTAAATGCATATTTCGATGGGTAGTGCGTGGGCCAGTGTTCCCCCTGTTTCTGGTAAGATGGCGAGCCTGCCCCCCCCCGCGCCCTCGCGTTAACTATTTCTTCAGGAGCCGAGTGTGGACGAGGCACCCTTCAAGGCGATGCCGAGGAGGTGGGCGTCGTTTCTCTTATGCGTATTCTTTGTTTGGCCATGTACCTTTGTGCTTTACCATGCATAGCTGGATTGACTTGCGCGCTGATCTTGCGTATTCCATGATACCATAGTGTATCTTAGTTGC